AAAAAAAAAAAAAGAAAACCTGTGAAAAGGTAAAAGGAGAAAAAAAATTAACATTAGAAAGGAAGAAATGAACATGGATTAGTACTGGGGGAAAAATAGTTAATCTTCACGAAATAAAAGAAAGTATATATATGTGTATGTATATATATACTCTTAATCGATGTTTTATTATTATTATTCTTGTTTTTTTTTTCTTTTTTTCTGAAGTGTAATTTTTTTTTTTTCTGAAGTGTGTTTTCTATTAAACTTTCTTTTTAGAATGCAATTATTAAAAAAAGAAAAGAAAACAAGTAAAAGAAGAGAAATGTTTTTCTTTTTCTCTTGTTTATTATTATTATTATTATTATTATTATTATTATTGTTGGCTTCCACACTGTTCATTCCTTATGGAGTTCGCCGTTGATGACTATAGATACAGTGAAAATATATATTTTTCTGGCGTATTCTTATTTGCTGTGATTTTTTTCTTTTGTTCTTCTTCTTCTTCTTCTTCTTCTTATTATTATTATTATTATTATTATTATATTTTATTTTCTTCTTTCTTTCTTATTATTTTCTTAATGATGTTGTTGTTGTTTATTTTCTGGAGATATTGGTTTTTGTTTATATATTTCTTTATTTCTTTTCTTTTCTTTTCTTTTCTTTCTAAAAATGAATAAATAAATAAATACACATAATAATAAAGGAAGGGTAGTGAGGAGGAGAGAGTCTCTGCTTTTTGGGGATACTTTTCTCGATTAGTGTTTGGCCCACTGGTATTCCCAAATAAAGAAGAGAAATAATAAAGATTTGCCCATATCCATCATTTTCAGAGAAACTACATTACATTCATATATATATATATATAGAGAGAGAGAGAGAGAGAGAGAGAGATAGAGATAAATATATACAACTGTATATATATATATATAGTGTATATATATATATATATATATATATATATATATATACATATTTATTTATACCGATAGACTTTTTAAAAAAATATTTATATCCATTATAAACAGCGTATCTGCATAAAAGAAAAGAAAAAAGAACAACGAAACGTCAGAGTCATTTATATATCTATATCTATATATATTCCTTTATAAAGAAATACACCATTGAAAGCGGGGAAAAAAAAAAAAAAAAACACGTGGAGAAAGGCCCACGAAATAGAAGCATTGTAGAGAAAAGAGAAAAAAAACAAAACAAAACAAAACAAAAGAATTACGGACGTGTACGTAAATACACAAATTATTCATCCATGTCTAGTGGCTCATCACGTACGAGAGTAGAACAAACATGTGTAGCTGCGAATAGTACACATCGTCGAAGTAGTAGTAGTGGGGATGGAGATAATAATAATAACAATAACCACAGAAGTACAGGTGAAATGGGTAGTGTTTGCACAAACACAATATCTCAATTACTACCAAACAATTCCAGTCCACTGCAGATGGATTTACATGATCTTCCTTCCTTTATCACTAATAATAATAACAATAACAATAATAATAATAATGATACTGTACAAGCCGGCACGACAAGTAGTTCTACACTGGGAGATACAGTGGAGGTATGCGGACGTCGTGATAGTAGTCAACCTCATTATCATTATCATCATTATCATAGTAATAGTAATAGTAATAATAATCCTTCCATCACCTCTGGTCTCTACAGTGTTAGACCACTGCAGTGCTGGGATGACAATTCTATGAGTAGTGCTGCGGATGGTATTCCGTTTTCAAGTGAGTCCCCACGAGGACGTGGTAGTTTCTTCACTACTAATATGAATACCAATAATAATAATAATACTAATATAAATAATAATAATAATAATACAACTACAACTCGTACTTCTAGTGCTCCACCTATACCACTCTCTGGACGGAGAAGAAAAAATAGAGGAGATGGAGGCGAAGGAGAAGAAGAGGGAGATCTTGAAGGGGATGGAAGAGATGGAACCTATTTAAATAACACCACTAATAATAATCATAGTAATAATAATAATAATAATAATAATAATAATAATAATAATAATAATAATAGTAATGGTAGTCCATTGACTGTTACTACGGCCTCTCAAGCCATTAATTTAGAGCCTTTTCTCTCAGAAGAAATGCCGCGTGGACGATTTATTTTATTAAATCTACTGAACACGTGGGGAGATGAACAGGAAGTGGGATTAAATGGTGTTGAGATATTTGATGAGAAGGGGGAACGTATTATTCCTCCACCAGAGTATATGAATGAAAGTAATATACCTTGGCAACCTATGGAAGAGGGAAAAGAAGATTTACAGAGAAATACAAACATCAAATGGGATGATGTTAAACAACAACAACAGAGGTGGAGATGTGAAGAAAGAAGAGAAACGGAAAATGGATTAACAACAATAACATATTCTTTACCAAATAATTGTCTCTTGATGATTGTTCAATATCCAGCGATTTCAAATAGGGCAAAGGTATTCTCTACGGCTTTTAGTAAAGAAAATAATGATGGAGGAACTTCTTTTCTAGATGATGATGATGAAAATGATGAAAAGTATAAACAACGACATGCTGTAGAAAATATTATTAATGGTATTCACAATACACATGATGATACGAAACTCTTTACAATGCCCTTTACACCTGGGAATCATCATTTAATTGGATTTATTCTTCCCAATCCCGTAGTGATTTCCATGATAAGAGTTCACAACTACAGTGGTCGTGGTCGTGTGTATACAGATAAAGGTGTACGTTTTCTGGAAATGACTGTAGATGATAAATTGGCTTTCCGTGGAGAAATTGCATGTAATACGGGTGAAGTGGTTTCCCCGCAGAGAGTGGGTCTTGATAATTGTGAGAATATTCTCTTCACAGAGGATAGAAATATCTTATCTACTCTTCTCAGTAGTAATAATAATAATAATAATAATAATATCAATGGACAAGAGACCACCACAGCATCAACATCATTATTATTATTAAATACACAGAGAGAAACAGCATCTGGATTAACAACAACATCATCCTCATTATTAGAGGAGAATACAGTACGAGGATCCACCACAACAGTTCTCTTCAGTACTGCGAATGAAAATAAATCTCAACGTATTGGAAGTGAGAGAGGCGTTGTCATTCCTGCTGCTCTTCATACAAAAAGTACAGTAAAGGAAAAGGATGATTCTCTTCAACATCATCAACATCTATCTACTACTACTACTACTACTACTAATACTAATACATCTGTAGGAGTGGGAATGAGAAGAGAAGCTGAACCTTCTTCATATAAACAATTGGATATAGCTTCTACATGTCCAACCAATGTCACTTCACTCTGTTTATTGTTATTAGGAACATGGGGAGATACTGAACGAATGGGATTGAGTGGACTTCGTTTACGGGATGCACATGGGAATTTGGTGAGTCAACATATTACCCATTGGTATATACGCTTTCCATCTCAACAGGAAAATAGGGAAGAGAATCATGTGGAGGATAAAATATGGACAGATCAACTCATCTTTCTTTTTGATGAAAGAGCGGATACTGCTTTAACATTACCGTGTGAATGTGGAATTGAAATTATCTTTATATTTGAAACTCCATTGCCAACTTTAGGGTTTGTGGAAGTGGCGAATTACTCTCTTGGTGAACACACCTTCTGTGGAGTGAAGGAGACACGACTGTTTTTATCTTCTGGTTCTCTCTGTACTTCACCGGAGGCCCTCGCAGCGGCCTATGCAACTCTGTGGACACTCGATAATAATAATCATAATAATAATAGTGATAATAATAACAATAACAACATACATGCGGTGTGGGAGAGACACGGTATATTTGAGGTAACTCCCGGAGAAGGTGTGAGTTTACGTAAAGCCCCCGCCTTTTTATCCATTCCACGTTTTCAAACCTACGATTTATCTTTAGCCATTGCCTATACACATAGTGGAGAAGAAGAAGAGGGAAAAGGAAAAGGAAAAGGTACACTCACTGCGGGAATGCCCAGTAGTCGGGCCTTGCGAGGTTCTCTTCTCTCCCACAGTTTGAGTGCCTCAATGACGATACGAGCAGAGATGGGATTACGACGGGCCCGAATGACACTTAAGCCGCGGCCGGAGTGGCTGTTGGAGTATCAACCGTATCTCACACCACTCTTACCAGTCGCGTATGTGTTGAAGGTGTCACTTCTCATCGCCGCAAAGGATACAGAGGCACTGAAGCGATATGCAAAGGAGTGGATGTTGAAACCATTGCATGCGTGTACATTTGCAGATGAAAATGGAGAACGTATTCGGGCTCGAAGTGGTGGAAAGAAGAGAACAATGCCAACTCATCATCATCATCATCATAATAGTAATAGTAATAATAGTCATAATACTACTGCTACTGCTGCTGAAGGGAAAAGAGGAGATGGAGGAAGTAATAATAGTAGTAGTACTAATAGTAATAGTAGTAATAGTACGAGTATGAATGCCTCATCCACCAATGATATTGTAACGGAATGTCTCTTCACACCTTTACCAAACGCTATTCAACAAGATGCTGAGATCGCTGCAATGGCCGCAGAAGCGGGAATACACGCTTCTCTACTACAAGCTTCTGTTTCTTTAGTATATGTTGCCGATTCTCCTTTTTGTATTTCGTTATTATCATTAAACCGTCCGTTAGTAGCGGCTGGACGTTTGGCGTGGGTGAAACAAGTTCGTGTATTAATGGATGATGCGTTAGTGTATGATAGCGGCGATGCGGGAGTTCCACAGCGTACGACTAGACCTACTACTACTACTACTAATATGAATATGAATACTAATACTAATACTACTGGAGGAGGAGGGGTTCCTGTTCCTTCGCAAACAACATCTTGCAATGATGATTGTTTTTCACCGGTGGTGGTGGATGGTGTGATGTATACTACACGTGTGAGACCTCTTATTTTCTTCACGTTGGATGCGTCTCTATTAGAGGAGGCACGTCGAGAGATTATGACCGTGTAAGTAAATATGAGAGAGAAAGAAGAGGGAAGAGAGTATATATATATATATATATAGTGTATATATATAGTGTATATGTGTGTGTATATACATATGTGTATGCGTTTGTGAAGAGTAGAGGCTGTATCAGTAGCAGCTGTAATAAAAAAAAAAAGACAGTAGAAATGAGTATTGAATAATTACTTGATTTTATCATTTTTTTTACACCTACTATTTAATGTCATTTATTTATTCTTTTATCTCTCAATATTTCTTTCCATTTCTATTCTTTTCTCTTTCTCTCTTTTCTTTCTTTTCTCTCTTTCTTGCTAATATAGGTGGTATCATTCTTTAGGTTTAGGACCGAAAGGGTAAATAAAAAAAAAGAACAAGAAAAAGAAAAGAAAACACCCACACTTATATACCCACGAGCTAAGGAAATAAAGTAAAAAAACAAAGAGGAAAGGGTTAATCGTGTGAAGGAAAAAAAAAAAAAAGGAACGCGGAAGAAAAGAAAAGAAAAGAAAAAAAGGGAATAGTTAAGTGAATAAACAAACAGGTAAACTCTTTGTTTTCACAAGACTTTTCAGTTTTTTTTTTTTTTTTTTTTTTT